TAACAAACCATATGACTTCGAGTTAGTTTGCTTAGCGCAATGTAAATTCTCACCTTATCTTTAGGACTTTTGTACAACCATGTTGTGCAATTATAAGTCCTAACACTTTTAGGATTCTGAGATTACTGTGCGGTATGGTGTAAATCCTCCTATATTTTTAGACTATTTGCGCGATCATATATCGTGCGAATATAAGTCCTAAATTCTAAAAAGAAATTGCAGGATTAAAAGAAATTGCAGGATTAATTGCAGGATTAAACATTGAATAACATCATTTCAAAGATATAAAGCTAAACAATAGAATAGTTGGGAGGTTACCGGGGTTCTTCTTGGATCTGTGATATCCCCTACTCTTCGCTCATTTGGATTCCTTAAAATAATTGTTCTTATTTGAGCCACTCCTATTTGATTTTTCCGCGTCTAATCTTGGAAACCTAAACTTTGAAATCTGAAAGGTAAAACCACTAATTTTAATCGAGAGTTTTCTTAAGTGATCCCGGTCATTTAAGATGTAATTAACTATAGGGGCTTGCCTCTATAGGGAACTTGTAACCCGGGTATAATAAATCTTATCTAATTCTTATATTCGATATGAGAATTTTCCGGTTATTTATAAAAGGTTTTGTAGACCAAACGGATGTCACAAACTCCTTAGTTTAGGTGGTTGAGTCTACCGTAAAGTGGTATATTTATCCTTCGGGATAGTGTATTACTTGTGGTATCGCGCTCAACCATCCAAACTATTCAATATGTTAGATTTATTTGATCTCATTTATTTTTTTAATTAAAATGTTACTTTCAAAAATCATATTTACATTAAAACTATTTTTCATATTTAAAAAAAAAAATCATCCATTTTCAAATTTCAAAAATAACGTCCGACAAATTCTGGCAACTTCGCTGGAGACTAGTTCCTCTCTCCATCTTTGATCATGTGGTTTTCTTTTCATACATCGGTAGTGTGCTTATGTCCCTCATGGGTCAGACTGCTGTTCTTGCTGTTCTTCTGTTGACATACCTGTTGACATACCGTGCTTATTTCTTCCTTAAGGCAGTGTAGTCAACTGTTCTTGGATTCCAAAACTGTCTGCTTAACCATCCTTAAGCAGAAGGGTTCAGGAATCCCTAGGGTTTAGTGGAGTGGACTCCCAATATGTGCGGTAAATTAGGAGTGGTCTATCGAAACGAATCCGATGCGAAGCCGAAACCCTCCAATTCTTAAATCGGGTTCTATGCTTCATTTCTTTTTGATCTTAACTTGTTGTGAACGAGTTAACACTAAAATTTTACTCTCACAATCTTCCATTTAAACCCATATGAAACAAATCAAAAAATTTGTGACAAAATTCACATGAATAAATTTTAAAGGATGCCCAGTTCATAAGACAGGTGCGTTAACTTGAGTATTGCCGCTAAAACTACAAGGTCTTGAACGTTACTGACACTCGAAATTCTACAATTGTCAGGAGCAATGTCGTCACCAAGTCTGACTTTCTTGTTCAACACACCTACAGATCGAAACACCCACCACATAGTTTCAATGATCCAGTTTGGGTCCGGGTTCGAGGAGTTTGAAGTGCTACTTGGAAAAGCACATCACGTGATAACAAAAATGGTTACCTCAGATGTTCAAGAGTCGTCCTCTAAATTCGACTTGAAAGACGATCACGATTTCCCTTCCCTAAAAAAAGTGAAGATTAGTACCGTCGTCGCTACACAAGCCCTTCCGTTAGCTAAAGGAAAGGAAATTTTGTATGAAGACGATTAAATAAATTTTTTTGCCCCTTCGAACTCTGCATTTGAAATTGGCTCTTCTTCCAAGTCTGCATGGCTGACGCGTTCTCAGAGAAGGAACCGTAGGAGGAGGGAATTGAGGGCTCAGAGAGCACAAGCAACCAAGCTGGCTTTAAAGGGTACAACTTCTCTACCGGAAGAAACCGAGTCAATGAAGACCTCACCTCACCTCGAGGGGAGTAGGTTTCATCCTCTGTCTGCCGCTTGTGGGGAAGAAAGTGTTTATTAGATTGCTGCTAAATTACTGTCGCCGCCTCGCCATCAAGGTGAAAAGAGAAAAAAGTCTGTGTCTCTTACCCAAATTTGTTTTGTCTTTGAAAGAATGGCACGAAAGGAGAATTGCTCAGTTGCTGAGATCTTAAGAAGGATGGGTTGTGATGTGTCCCCTCAAATGAAGAGGCTGATATTGGAAGAATATGAATCTATTCGACAACCTCATAGGCCCACCAAGAGGGCCAAAGGGGTGCCACCACCACACATTTTTGCCAAACTCCGGTTAGAAGATCGAATAGCCGCCGATGCCGCCGATGCCGCCAATGCCAGAACTACCAACGTCAACGCCATAAAGTAAAGATCAGCTAAACTACGACTGGGATCAAGATTACTGCATGTAAAGGATGCTAAGGGATTATCCGCTGTTGTATTTGACTCGCGCACTAGGGGACTTACTTCCCTTCGCCATATTGATGTTATCAACAGGACACCCCATCTCCAGACATCAGTACTTGAAGGGAAGATGTGGAGACCTAAGGGCGTTAGTTAGGTACTACTAGCAAGTGCGGGAAGTCCTCACCCCGAAGAGGATCCTAAGTCCAAAATAAAAGTTGTTACACCAGGATTTGATGCGAATACAGTTGTCCGTCAAAGACCACCAGTCGATCTTAAAGTGATTAAGGGAGATTCAATTGAAAGTACGTTGAAAAAGCTTAGACTTGACATTGCAGAGCTGTCAAAGAAGCAACGAAAGAATGATGAAAGTGAAGACATTGCAGATGCCTCTTTCTCTAGTTTTAGAAACTTTGAATTGTTGTGTCATTGCCAGGAGTAACCAATGTATCATCCATTAAGTTTCCAAGTTGGAGTGTGTCCCCAACCTTCCCAGTCTTCGGCCGAGAAGTATAAACCTGTCATTCTTCATCTAAAGACTGACTCATGTGATCCTCGGTCTTATTAGATATTAGAACCGCAGTAGAAGGAAAGACAGTCGTTGTCACACCGATAGGTTTCAGTGTATGTGAAGTGTGAATTGTCACCTCTGCACCTGATAGTTTCTGAATAGGAGCTACGGGGCTATCCTGATTTTTGGTTCAAACATTATCCCTTATAGTATGGTCAGGAGAAGGGTTCCCAAGGGCAGACGCCAACTCCTATCTTGTGGTGATTCCCTCCTCAGGTTGACTGTCATTAGGTTTGCTGGGAGCGCCAACTAATAATTTAATAATTTTAAACAAATATAATAATTCGTTTGGTAGCAGTTTAAAAATATGGATTATTAATAAGCAACTTAAAACTTGATAGAAAATTGAAGAACTTTGTGATCAACACACCTAGTTTGAAGACAAATTTTAGACATAAATATGCAAATTAAAATTTCTAGTAAGAATTTTTAAATACCGCTATAAGAATTATGAAATTAAATAAAAACCAAGATATAAAAAATAAAAGTATTGGTATCACGCCTCTCACCTCAAATATACAAGCCCAATTATATAGAAATTAAATGCACCCTCATATATGAAATAATACAAAAATAATTGCACAAAATATACAATTAAAATTATAATAAAAATCAAATTTAAAAATAAATGTTTTCAATCAAATATCATTGGAAATATAATCAAATCAGAAAATAATATTAAGAAATGAAATAAATAATTATACTATGATACCTTGAAACTAAGAAATGTTGAGTGGAGCATTAATCTTCTGTTACAGAGATAGGTGGACTCGAGCATTGTTCTTTTCTAAAGGAGATGAAGGCAAACACATAGTTTTAATTGAGCATTTATAATTTGTAATGAAGACAAAGTTGGAGGCGGGGATCCCTTTATTGATCATCACTGATGGGATGGAGATGCCTGTTGATGGAGACGAAGCAGATCTCAGGTGAGGGATGGGAAGTAGATGCTGCCGCTGCTACATCAATGCTGTAAAGTGTCAATCTTTTTCACCCTTGTGTTTTCCATCATATTTTATTGCCTCTGACATTGAATTAAATTGGAACAAGGGTAGAACTATGCTGTTAGTTCTCATGCAAGCATGTCACACGTGCTTTGGCACTTGACTGCGAATAGCGTACGACTCTCAAATCACAACTGTTTGACTTAAAAGCAGAATAGTGCAAAATTGCATTGCAGCACTTTGCTTCAAATGCCTGCTTTTAAATTCATCGGGTGAGAGTTGAGATCCATGTTGGTTGGCATGAAGCTAAAGGATTTGTTTTTGGGAAACAATTAGTGTGTATAGCAATAGTTTTTTTGTTGAAATTCTTAATTCTTTTGCTTGGTTTTTTTGTGGTTCTTTTAGTTTTTTTTCGAAATATAAGATTAAAAAAGAAAGAGAACTAAAGGAAGGACAGAGAGAAAAAGTGGAAATATGAAGTGAGAAAAATGAGTGGAGAGTATTTGGTGCATGCAATTATTACTAGTGATCATTTATTTTTGTGTGGCCATGGATGTTGGTGGATCGAATTGAACCTTACAATTTTTTTTTTTTTGTCTTGTTTTATGATGTTTTTCCTTGATGTTTTTTTTCTTTTGTTGTTGCTGTACCATTGCTCATGGGCCTTGCATTTTCCTGACAATGATAAATTAACAATGTCAAAAAAGAGGCTGATACAATCTACCGTCACCATAAGTGTTTTTATAGTGAATAGTTTAAGCAAGTAGCTTTCCTGAAACATAATGCTATAAAATTTCAGTGCTTTGGTTGGTTGAAGTTCGGTGGAAGAATCAATCAGTTGACTAAATTTGATGATTTTATGAATTAGATGGCATCATGGACTTTTTTTATTATTGTTTAGTCCTTTGCTTGCCTTTGGTGTTTAATGCTTGTCCATTTTCTAAACTAAAACTTTGAGATGGAAGTCTACCTTTCTACTTCTAGTTTGCTAAAGTATCGATAAATCAAGTATTCAATTGGGTTATTTTTCAGGTATCCTAACTTCTAATTTTATGCCACTCATTCGAGTTTTGTGTGACATGCAGGACTCTTCTGGTATATTTTGGGATAATGACAGCTTAGCAGCTTTACTAGCTCTTGAATTGAAAGTTGATCTCCTTGTTTTACTTAGTGATGTGGAAGGTCTATACAGTGGCCCTCCCAGTGACCCACATTCAAAATTAATACATACTTACATAAAGGAGAGGCATCATGGAGGAATTACTTTTGGCGAGAAGTCCAGGGTTGGAAGAGGTGGTATGACTGCAAAAGTAAAGGCTGCAGTCCATGCTGCTTATGCAGGAATTCCTGTTGTTATTACCAGGTGTTTTTTTTTACCTTTTGAATGCATGCCTATTCATTTTTGCATCTGATGCTAATCACTTTGATATGCTGCAATGTTACAAAAGCATGAGCTATTCTATTTTTTGATTCAACATTTAGCAGATTTGAGCAATGACATAACTTTATTCCTTCAAGTTTGTTTATGAATAAAAAACCAACAATGTCAGCAATTTGCTTTTTTGCGTTTTAATGCATATCAACTTCATTCCTAAAGTTAAATTAACAAATTAAATTGATATGATTGTAGAAGCTGCTATTTAGAAAGGAGAACAAGACTCTAGGAGAAAATAGAGAAGAAGAGACTAATGTATTAGTGTGTCTTTTCAATAGAAGAAGTTTCACAAGATATGGTATTCATGATAGCTATTGAGTTTGTTAGAGTGGTTCAGGTTCGTTTCATGCTAATGCGCTTGATTTCCTTAATTGTTTTGTATTACTCGTTGAGATGGATGAAAGAGGCACAGTGGCTGTAGTCTTAGCGATAAATTACCCTCCCCTGAATTTGAGGGTTTTTATAGAAAGAGTAAACTTTCTCAGAGAGTATGAAAGCTGGTGGTGGGAAGGGCTTTTGTAATGATGCTGGCAAATTTAATTGTGGAAGGCGACATTTTGAACAATGATGGCTCAAGATTTTTGCAGTCTTAAATGAAATGGTATTCAATGTCAATATGTTCGGTGTTGGCGTTGAAAATTAGATTGTTATTTAAAGCGAGTGCTAACATATTATCATAGTATAGTGGTGTTGGTGAGGAGATCAATATGGAATTCTTGTAACAGTGCAAATCCAAACACGGTCAGTGGTATTTGCGGCTAAGGCTTGGTATATGGCTTCGTTAGAGGATCCTGCAATGGTTGGTTGTTACTTTACACATCGAGAGATGATTGTCCCATAAATGCATAATAGCTTGTGGCTGTTCATTGGTTGGTGGATCACCTGTCCAATATGTTTGTGTATGTTTGGAGCTTTAAGTTGTCTTTATGGATGGGAAGTTCATAGTTGATTATGCTTCATGTGTAGCGAAGCAGTTTTTTGAGAAGTTGAAGGTGGTAGTTGAGAGGTTGATGTTGTATTTGCATGCTCTGTTTACTGCCAGGGATAGATCTGATCGTGTGATCGTGAGGTATTGTAAAGGTGGCGGTAAAATTCTGGGTCAGAGTAGGCTACAATTGGGTTTTCAGTAGGTGCTTGGTTGGTTTGAATGAGATTTTAGAGAGTTTTGTAGTTTCTCATGTTTTCTTTATTATGGATTTTGCAAGTATTGGTGAATTGGTTAGGAAGAGATTGTAAGGTTGGCAGGTGACTTCTATGCCTACAAAATGCAAGATATCTTCCAAAATTTGCACGTGGAATTTACTGTGGAGGTTATGAAGAAGGATGGTAAGAAATAGGATGTTGTCGACATTGATAAGGCTGTAGATGATGGTGCAATTGTTATTGTAGTGAAGGGAGGGTTGATATTGTTGAATTGGATCAGAGAAAGTTTCAAACCCTTATTGAGGAGCTTATTTGAAATCATAAATAACAATTTCTAAGTCTTAGACATGGTTTCGACTGTGAGAATTTTGAACTTTTTGGTTGACCCATATATAGATGATTTCAATGAATTTGCCATGGAGAAAATCGTTAAAGACATCAAGATGGGTAGTGGGATAGGTGTGATGTGTGGCAACAATGAGGATTTTGAATGATGTGCATTTTTGCGACAAAATTGAATGACTCATTATAATTTGGATCATATTCTTATTTGAAGCCTTGGGTCTGAGTCTAGCTTTATAACAAGCAATGACGCCATTTGCATTGAGATTTCTCTTGAATATCCTTTTGCTGACTAGGAAATTTTGATTGTGGGATGTGGCAACCAAAACTTTGATACCTTAAGAGAGCATTAAACTCTAGAAACATGACATGTTTTCATTTTTTCTGTTTGGTCACGACATGTTTTAGGTTGGGTCTGTAAATGGAGTGGTAATATGTTAGAGAGTGAAAATGGGCTTGGTTTTGAGTTGCCATTTTTTTTGTTTTGGAGTATTCAAACAACTATGTTGATCTTATATTACATATTTAGTACATTTTAAAATGGAGTAGGAGTGTATCCTCCTCCATCATCAAATATGAGATTTTTAACTTGCAAGGTGGATTGGTGTTTTGTCGTCCATTTAAATTTTGTGAATTCAAATAGTGTTTCAAATTTATATATTAGGGTAAATCCAACAAAGTGAGAAACCATTTACAAATGAGATGTAATATTTGTATTTATGTTTTAAAATTGCGCAATGTGTTCTGCTTTGAAATCTGCCTCAAATTTTTTTTTGAAATATTTTCAATGAGGCTTACATCTCATTGAGTATTTCATGAGGCTTAAACCTCATATAATATGAGGCCCCTATAAAGGTGCGTGTCGCCGCCTCAATTCTAGTTAGGCGTATGCAATTCGGTCTAGTGTTACTCTTGAAATAACTAAAATAACTCTAATAAGTATTTCCCATTATATATTACGCAACTTAGGATATAAATGAAGTTTTTGTTATGGGCATGGGCAGTTATTTTTTTTAAAATCTGAAAAATATTCTTATTAATTAAAATTGATTAAATAAGAGAAAGATGATTTGAGATTTAAGGTGAGGATGATGATGTGTGTGTGTGTGTGTGTGTGTGTGTATAATATAATATAATTGATGATATTGTGTGGGAAAAAGTAAATCATTATGCTAATGATTCTAATGAAGGCTCATTAAGAGATAAAATTCATGAGGAATTTTGAATTTAAAAATTCTAACCTTTGTGACTTGTTGTATTTCTTCTTTGATGGATTGAAAGTAGGGGTGTGAGAAAGACTAATTGCATTGAACTTATTTTGATTTATTGTGTTATTATTTCTTATTTTAATGTTTGTATAACCCTTTTTATTTTATGATTTGATTTTGGATGTTAATATTTTATTTATTTTTTATACCATATTAGGATATTAATATTGTTACAATTTAACCTATTAATCGATTATGATGTTAATATGTTATTTTTTACTACACACTTTGAATTTTGTACAATATTTTTTGTTTCGGGTAATTTATTAATTAAAAGGTTTGCACCTCGAGACTTCTGTCTCACAAAAATAAAAAAAATATCTCAATACCCAATTGCATAATTTTAAACTTTCTTTGTAACACCAAGTAAAAAAGCGAGAGAAGGTCCCCATTTGTAGTTATGAACGAGCTCTAGTGGATCATCGTTGTGACCAATTGCTAGAAAAGGTGATAATTTATGATTTTTTGGCAAAATGACAAAGTACTTAGAGTTTGTTTAAAAGAAATACATAAATCTGTGTTTCCGTTTGCTATAATGCAAAGAGCTAGACGTCTCAGTTATGATGCCACATGCTGGCGTTGAGCGAGTGAGAAGAGCATGTTTTTGAGGTAGGGATGATGAAGGTGATTAAATCTGATAGTCCTTTAGTGTTGGGGCTATAAGAATAATTCGTTTGGGTTGGGATTCAGTAATTGTAGCTGCTGACATTAAGAAAGATGATATAAGTATTGTTAGCATTCAATTTTTTATGTCGGAGGACATTGTGCGAAATGTGTAGAACATGAAGTAGTCAAGGAAGAAGGAGCTTATGAGTTAGTGTAGATAAAATTTTCTGGGCCATGTTTGAGATGTGGAGAGCTTGACAATTTCCTTGTGGTGCATGGTGCATATTAGTCTCCTTTATACAATTTGGAAGTATGCAACTAAGTTGGTTCTGATTTACGTTGCACAGTTCTGCCTGAGACTAAACACCAAGTTGTTGGAGGAGAGCTTGCCTATAGAGTTTAAGTTTGAGTTGGGATTGTGATACTTGAGGCATATTCCGTGCCATCAAGGGTCAACAGAATGAATTTTTTGTTACAAATTTGGTTTTCTACGTATGGGTCGGAGAATTTATCTCCACAAGGTGAGCTGGTATAGTTGCTGTTGGATTTGCTTGTGCGATGATTGGTGTATTATTTGTTTGTTAAGAAATTGGAATGAAGACCACGACCGTGTTCTCATATAGTGTTGAGAATGAGGGCAGGGTTAGTAGATGATGAGACTTGTGCTGCTTTATGAGCAGCTCATTAAGCTATAAGTTGATTTTCTTATGACAACTAAGGAGTAGAGATCATCTAGGTTAATGGTTGAATATTAGTTTGGATTGCAGTTTGGAAAACCTGGTAGGTGTGGGGTAAGCCATTTGTGTATACGAAATGATGTATTTTGTGGTTATGGGAGAGCCGATGACAACAATATTGTCCATTTTAGCTTTTATGGTGAAAAATATTGAGTCATTGTTTGGTCCTACATTATGATGATATAAAGCTTACCCTATGTTCAATGATTTTAGGGTTGTTGAAAGATTGGAGTCGACATTCTATAGTGTTCCAAATGTCATTGTAGGAGTCTAGATGTAGGATGTAGGAGAATTGTCTAAAATGATTGGGTTGCTAGTGTGAGGTTTTAATCGATATGGCCAAAAGGTGTTATTGGGGCATTCTGTGAGAGTGCGTCAGGTCGATCGAGATGTGGAGCCAAATGAGTAGCTCTTGTAACTCAAAAAATTTTGATGACCTTGTTGGGTAGTTATTTATGGTAAATGAAGTATTGATAATATTATTTATTTTAGACATCGAGAATTTGAGAGGGAAATAACAATTGATAGGATTAGGATGTGAGTTAAGGTTGCTAGTGACAGAGGATTTTAAGAAATCCATGAGCGCTCACAGGAGGGGCTAGAATGTTTTTGGAGGTGATGGATGTAATTTTTTATGGTGATTAGGTAGTTCTTGCCTTGAGGCATGTTGAAGTTTTTCCATAGGAAGGAGAAGTAGACATGGGAAAGTAAATAAAGAAGAAGAGGCTGTAATTTGTTATTGTGCATTTTCCATAGAAGAAGGTTTACTTTGGAAAACTGAGATGGATTTCGGCTGGATGCTAGGTTGGACCGCTTGAATACCATAGAAACC